AAAGCGAATGTCCGGCGCTATAACCAGATCCCAGTTTAATGGTGCACATGGGCTCCAGTATCCTGCGGGAACAAATGGCGTATGAACCAATCGTTGGTCACCGGCTTCCATGGGACTGCATCTCCTTACGATGCTCCACTGCATTGTGGGTCAGACGTTCAGGTCAAAGGCTCGGGGTGTGGCCCCCTAAGACAACCACCTGCTTCGGTTTGGGCACCCGGACAGTATCACAGCCCTCACACAAATCAATTGAGCTTTGTGTGGCGCATATGTATTTGGTGCCTCCCTGTACCTATACTTATGTGTTAAAATAAATAAATAAATAATAATAAAATAGTGGAATAAATTGGGAAAGAAAATAAAGGACATGAAGAATTCAGAAAATTAGAGTTTGAGAGAACACAAAGAGTGGATGCACCTGCGCCATTGCAAACGATTTTGAGCCATGTAATTCAAGGTCTCTAACCATCGGTTGCTATCATCTCGCGATCCCCAACCAGGTAGTGTACACCTACCAACATGACTCAGTCCACTTGTCAGAGACTTCATGGATTTGTGCCATGTTTTGGTCTGGCCGCCCCTAGCTTTCTTCCAACCTACTCCTACACCATAAAACATAGCACGTCGGGGCAGTCGGTGGTCGGGAATGCACAGCACATGTCCCAGCCATCTCAACTGATTAAGTTTCACTACTTCCTCAATTGATTTGCCATCCTTACCTAGTACCCGTTTCATAACAACTGCATTACTTACTCGGTGGTCCCAGGATATACGAGCGATGTTTCGAAGACACCTATGGTCAAATACTAGTAACCTACGAATATCCTCTACTCTTACTGGCCATGTTTCACTGCCATAAAGTAGGACGGAACGAACTGCTGAACAGTAAACATGTCCTTTGGTTGATAGACGGATATCTCGCCTACGCCACAAATGACGCAAGTTGGAAAAAGCTAGTCAATCCTTCTGTATCCGTGCTGAGATTTCGTCACCCACCAGACCACAAGGGCTGATGAGACTTCCGAGATAAGTGAAGCGGTCGACACGCTCAACTACTTCACTCCCTTTCACTAGTTCGGGTGTCGACGCAACCCAATCCTGAAGCAACATTTTGCATTTCGAGGGAGAGAATCGCATGCCGAACATGCTTGCATTGTTGCTTAGAGTGGTCAGAAGACTCTGCATTCTGTCAGCGTCTTCACCAAATAGAACTGTCATCGGCATATTCTAAGTCAACAAGTGGATCTCCCGGTAGAAGTTCAACTCCTGGAAATTTTGGATGAGGAAAGTGTCATCTCTAAAAGGACGTCAACGACAAAGTTAAACAAGAATGGAGAGAGTGGACAGCCCTGACGAACACCACTTGAGGCAATCAATTCTGATGACAGTTCACCATAAGCTCTTACTCGACCAGTTGTGTTCGAGTAGAGAGCCTTTATAAGGTTAATGTACTTCTTCGGTACTCCTTTCAGAGAGAAACACTGCCATAGAACCTCACGATCAACAGAGTCAAATGCCGCCTTAGAGTCGAGAAATACTACGATTGTGGGGCGTCTGAATGTGTGTCTATGTTCTAGGACCTGACGTAGTGTGAATATCCGGTCTATACAACCACGTCCAGGTCGAAAACCAGCCTGGTTTTCTCTAGTCTGCTCTTCACGAGCTTTGGTTAGGCGTCGAAGTAATATTGAAGCTAATATTTTAGACACTATATTAGTCAAACTGACTTCTCTGTGATTGTCACAAGAAGACTTTTGTCCTTTCTTATAGACTGGTACAATCAGTGATTGAGACCAGTCAGATGGGATTACGTCCAGTTCCCAGATTCTACCTAAGACCTCAGTCAATCTCGCTGCTAATACTGGACCGCCATTCTTAAAAATCTCAGGGGTAAACCTGTCAGGGCCTGCTGCTCTCCGACGCTTCAGATTTCCTATAACTTTTTCAACTTCGTAAAGAGTCGGAGGACTTACATTAGCTTGCCATTCAGGTCGACTGTGGATCGTGGGAAACCGAAGTGTGGTTGAAGGCCAGTTGAACTGATCCCTAAAGTGTTCTGCCCATCGATCCAATCTCCTGGATTGAGAATGAATAATATGTCCATCTTTCTCTGCGATTGTTTCGCTAACAGTTGGGTTCCTAATACCGGTTTCCTTAACAAGTCTGAACAGTTGCCTGCTGTTACCTATTGCCGCTGCCTTTACCATCTCTCTTGCTTTCGCTACCCACCACTGTTCACGATCATTGCGTAGGCTTCTTGTCAGCTTGCGCTTAAGCTGACTCCGCTCTTCGTTATGTTCAGAGCCGGATGGAATGAGTTTTCGAGCAACTATCAGTGCCGTAGATGCTACTGAGATTCAGTGTTTGTCCTTAACCTTGTGGTTTACCGCACTAGCAGACATCACTGCTGTTTCTACAGCTTTTCGGATATCATTCCACGCTGTCTCGAGGTGGGAATCACTTACATGGCTGCCTAACTGTTTTTTTAGTTGTTCCTGAAACGTATTCTTAGGTTGGTTATCATTAAGTAGTACCCTATGAGGTTTCCTTGCAGCATCTTTCCTGCATCCAGTAAGACACAGACAAATACGCGCTCGCACTAGAGCATGATCTGAGTCTAAGCATGTGCTCCAGAATGAGCGACAGTCTTCTATCGAGCCCCTCCATCGGTGGCTGATAGCGATGTGATCTATTTGGGTCCAGCGTTGAGACGAATTCGGGGGTCGCCATGTTAAAAGATGTTTTTCCTTATGCCTAAAGTTAGTGTTTGCAAGAAACAGGCGGTTATCTGAGCATAGCTACAACAGACGGTCGCCGTTATCTGTTCTTTGAACCGCGACACCATCAGATCCACCCAGGTGTCTTTCCTTTTCGCTTAGTTTACCTACTTGAGCATTAAAGTCACCAGCCAATATTACTACATCTGAACGCCTAGCTTTTCGGAGAAGGTCGGAAAGATTTCTGTAAAACTCATCTTTTACATCATCTGAGCTGCAGTCAGTGGGAGAGTAGGCAGAGACGACGAAGAGGCAACGACGAGTGTCCCTATCTTCCCGAGTCTTTACTGTTCCGTTTAGTTGGACAGTGCACAAACGACTGTCTACTGGGATCCAGTCTTAGAGAGCTAGTTCTGCCCTAGGACTCAATGCTATACCTACGCCAGCGAGGCCACGGGAAGCAGCATCAGGGCTTCCAGATACACGAAGCGTAAATCGAGTTGGTTCGTTACTTTGACATGGTGCGGTCAAATGAATGACACTACTAGGATCCTGTGTGCGCGTTTCGGAGACGCAGCACACATCGATGGCGCGAGATTCTAAGGTCCTAGCTAAGGAAGCCTGTTGTCCTATTTGGCACAGTGTTCGGACGTTGAAAGCTCCTACGTTTAGTTTGGAGCGTGGTTTCAGGAGACAAGGAATAACATTCCGCGTACTCGAATCGTTCGCACTAGCGGGGCGAGGTGATAAACGGACGTGAGAAGGGTTAGTCATGGAGATAAGAGAGTTATTAGGAGGTGTAGGAAGGATTTGAATGTGACCAACTTGGTCTCGTGTGCTGTTACGGGTATGAGGGTTGATGTCACTTCCCGGTTGCCCACACCGTGGAAGGGTATTTCTTGAGGGACCTGAAAAGGAAATCGGATTAGTGTTGGTCTTAGCGACCTGAGTGCGTGACCGCAGAGCCCAAGGAACAACTGCTTGAGGCCGGTCGCGCACGGCCTTCTCGTGGGAGGCTTTTAATGTGTTAGCTCCGTTCTTCAAAGAGCCTTACCGCCGGAGACAGAAATCCGTGGGGTAAGGTGAGGTGTGACATTTTTAGGGTGGACCTTTACTAACTCCTTCCTTCCTTGTGAGAAGGCAGCATCGCTGCAGATGCTGGTTGTCCGAGGAAGTTACCTTACTGCTGTCACACCTCTGTACAGTCAGCAGTACGACTTCGCCCTCAGACCTTGAGTTGCTGATTTTAGTCTTACCGTTCTCCAATCGACCTGCCTGGCATGGTAGAACCTGCAGGAACATGTGTTCCAGCCAATATAGCTCGGTTGGGTCATCACGATAGGCAAGCCCGACCACCACGTCAAGGTAGCAGCTACGGTCGGGATGTGTTAAAATAAATAATAAATAAATCGTAATAAAAGATACGTAATGCCAATATAAGGTCACCTCGCGCCCTATGATACTACAAGGGGAAAAGTGCTAAGAGTTTCAAGCGTTCATTGTAAGGGAGTTTGATGAGACTCGTCACTTTGTCTTCAAACTCTGAACACGAGTGTGTCAATATAAAACATAGACCAGCTGCTTGGATGAAGTACTTTAGGTGTAGTCTCATACTTAGGTGGGGTATAAAATTCTAAGCATCTTGTCAACGCATTTGAGTGCTCGGCTAGGTGACCATAACTCTGGAAAACCTTTAGCAGCTACTGCATTATGATGTGCATTTGTTTTATGCCACGACTAACTGTTACCCCCAAGTCTTTGTTCTTCCACGCGTGGAAGCGATGTATTGTTGGTAGTACACTGATAACTATCGTTGTGTCCAATGTACATTAGCACACTTTATAATTAATTTCTTAACCTCAACTATTAGACCTTCTAACCAATTTGTCTAGGTCAGTTTGGAGATTAAGATAATGAACTCTTCTACTTATTGTTCTCCTGATCTTGTCACCATCTGCAAACAATATTGTCGACAACTTAAGCAGTTTCGATAATTCTTTGACGTGGAGAAAAAGTAGGGAACTTATCCACATTTCTATTCACTATCATCTACATTATGTTCATATAAAGTCTTTTCACTCCAACTAGTGTTAAATAAAAAATATTCTGATCCACTTAGATAAGACGAACAAATATTGTTTTACAAAAAACAGTAGACAAAAACTAGTGCGTTGACCAAAAGTCCTACAAATTATAATTCGTTTCTGCATTGCTAGTTACCATTTATCATATTCGACGACATTGTCAAATGGTTGTGTTTTCTATTTCATTTTCACGATCAAGTTTATACTTTGGAGCACTGACTTTGAAATTCATCAGTCGGGAAGAAGGAATAGCTTATTAATGCTAAATAACTGAGATGTCACCGATACTATATAGAGATAAGATTCTGTTGCTTATTAATGGACATTGGTGAGAAAATATCGTCGAATTTACTAAAACAACTGGATAGACATTGAAAAAAGTAGCATGAAATACCTCATGATGGTACCTCAATATTTACTATTCGTGTCATTTTAAATAATCGGGTATGTCCTACTAGTACAAATCTTGTTTTATCGAAATAACCATCTATAATTTCGTCGTAGAAATCTTAGGCGCTTTCTATCACACTTGTAAGTATTTCGATGTTAAAAAATAACATTTTCATGTTAAATATGATAAGCATTCACATTCTGCACATCTAACGGAACTTTATTTTTTTAATTTCAGATATAATAGAACCCGTCCGTTGTCTATAAGTATATATGTACCCGTTTATCAAATAATTCTACGTTTCTTCCGTAATGGTGAAGCAACGTTGCCTTGATCTACTATTCAATAAAATACCTTCCAATTTTATCGCCTACATTGATGAATGCCATATGCCTCGCAATAATAATAATTGGCTCTGGAAATGTTTAATAAATGAGAATTGTGAAAAATATACTTGCATACTTGTTACTTCTGAATTGTACAACTACAAAACTATTGAGAATTCTCACCAGTCACTTAACGTTCTTCATACTTATAATTATGAAACTTCTGAAAGTCTTGTAGATAAGCTGTCAAAATTATCTTGTTCTGTTAGAAAACAGAACGATCAACAAACATTTATCTTCATAGAGTCATTATCTTGGTTTTTAATTGATTGTCCTATCGATTATGAATTTGATTACTGGTGTCAGTTTGTTATTGGTTCTTTGTTTAATCTTTCTTTAACACCCTATGTACACCGAGTAGTTTGTAGCTTTAATCCTGTAATAGATAATTCTAGCAAGGTATATTATAGTGCATCTTCCACAATAATTGATACACTAGAAGCATATGCAACTTCTGTTATTTACTGCCAGTCATCGACAGGGATTTCAAATAGTTTGACGAATCAAATCTGTCAATCTTTGAAATTATTTCATCGTCGTAGCCTTCAGGGTGAGTGTAACAAATTCATGGAGAACTCAGTCTCTTTCAATAAGTCTTCATTTACTGAATGTGGTACCATCGAACTTGATACAAAAGCTTTAAAAATTCTGAAGTACTCGGTAAATAAAAATGAAACAGATTCTTTACCAGTGCCTAGTCCTTTACCTAAGAGTACTTTTAATCTAACAATGACTGAAAGTGAAAAAGTTGCTCGTAGTTTCGTCGTTTTACCGCATGATGCAGTACGGCTGTCCAACACAGTGAAGAAAAGTGAATCTCCCGGTTGTGTTATTCAGTATCAGCCTGATTGTTTTGATGATTTAGATGACGAGGATCCAGATGATGATTTAAATATTTGAACATATAGTTTTAACATATTCTGAATTATTTTGATAATATGTATGAAAACAAATATTTTGAGGCTTCACCTTTAAAATCTTTCCTGTGAACTGTTTTCTCCCTAATTATTAAATAGTAATTATTACTTGTATTTCATATAAAATAAGACGTGTTAGATCATGTGGTTAAGTAATTGTCCTCAATTATAAAGACTCTATATTATTTACTTGTGGGGATTGTTATGTTTCCAGCACAATTTATTAAAAAGGAATTCAGTTTAAATTTATAAAATGATTTAAATGTAATTTTTGAGCCGATTTCCGTATTAAGTCAGTGCAACTTTCATTGTGTTAAATAATTCGGTGTGATTCGCACTAATTTAACTTTCGAATTAGTTCGTTATAATTTTCGTCCAGCAGAATATTCATCTGAATTCATTTTGTGTAGGGTTTATCCAGTGGGACAAATTACTTAACTAATGATTGCTACGATAAAATCTATGTAAATAAATGTATTAAAATGGGTCTCTATCAATAAATTTTCCCGACAATCTTTAACTTCTATTTATAGTTAGTGGGCCGGGAAGAAAGGATAACCAGTCTCGTTCAGTATTAATAAGTCTGTCACAACGTAGAACCTGATGCGCATGCACAAGTTGTCATACCCCATCAGCTCGGGGAGGTGAAATTATCAGACCAAATCCCAGAATAGTAAAGGTAGTATCAGTGATGACTTCTTGAAGATTTCATGCAGTTGGTTCCCTTCATGAATTTAAATAAAGCCAGAACAAACGTGGATTCAGGGTAATATGGATTCATTATATTTCGTGGTTTCTCATCAGCTGCTTACAACCGTATATGTACTGAAAGTTTACATTGAAGATATAGTGTGAAACGATTGACATAGATGAATGGAAAGAATCGGGATGATAAATGTTATTAATAATAACTTTATATATGTTCAGCAACAGGTCGGAGGTCTTTTGGTGTTGGAATCCAAAAAAACGAGGGGTGGGTGATGCACTAATTGAGGTTCAGAGACAGATCAGTCAGCTACAAAGTAAGACCAGGTACGTATATGCATCGGTCCATGTTGCTACTTGGACAGACAAGATAAATTGCATGATAATTTTAGGGGTTATGAATAGTGTACATAAGATTCATAGAATTAAAAAACTCGTAAGATGGGTTGCGTAATAATTAAACAGGATTTGAAGAGTTTGCTTAAGTCAAGTGAATGGGACTATATGAGTGGAAGGGCGGTTTTAATGTACAGAAAATAAGGATTCGGCGAGGGCAGATCATAACAAAAAAAGGATTTACCAGGGTAGAGGTAGGTTTATTACTGTTTCATTTTGGATACATAATTCAGGTTTGAGTTTTTTATCGCTGTTGTTTCAGAAAACCGAAGGGACGCTGTGTTCTTTCGTCTGCTAATAATTCTGAAGGCTTGAGGAATGTCAGTGGTGTGCTCGGTATCAGGTGAATGCCGAGTTATTGCACTGTTAGGTCACTGTCCATCTAAGTTTCAAGTTCTCTGAAACATGCTTGGAAATGCGAACATGTACTCTTTGCACTGGCAATAGAGAAAATGTTGGCATCAAAGATACGACGCGAGGAAAAATGTTTGAATTAACGAGATTAAAAAAAAAGGAAGTTATAAAAAATTCGAAGTCTCAGAATTTGGGAGAGATAAATAATGGATGCGCTTAAGCAATTGCAAATGATTTTGAGCCATGTCATTCAAAGTCTCTAACCGTTGGTTACGATAATCACACGGACACCTATTAATATAGTTGACTCCAGTTACTGGTGACTTCATGGACTAATCCCATGCTTTCGTCTAGATACTTCTAACCAATTCCTGCATCAGAAATCACCACTGTTTGAGGTAGGTGGTGATTAGACACACTCAACATTATTATTAAAGCCGGAGTTATAAATTATTAATGAAGTGACCAGACGTCATTTTTGAGTAGTTTCCAACAGGTCTCCATGCACAGAACTGTATGATAACACCTAGTAGTGGTATTAATATATAATAAATGTGGAAACTATCTTCAGTAAAAGATTGTTATCCGAGAAAGAGTATATTGGCTCATTTTACACTGGTTTATCTGCACTCTCCCCACGGCCGAGAGTGGGGAGAGTCCGCTCTCCCTCTCGAAATGCTCTCACATGGCCATGCGTATATAGCCTCTGCCAGGGAAGTCCTACTCACTGCCTTCTCGTGGCGGGGGTGTTGTTTACAAAAATGAGAGGACGAAAAGCGAATGTCTGGCGCTTTAACCGGACCCCAAACCAATGGTGCACATGGGCTCCAGTATCCTGCGGGAACAAATGGCGTATGAACCAATCGTTGGTCACCGGCTTCCATGGGACTGCATCTCCTTACGATGCTCCACTTCCTTGTGGGTCAGACGTTCAGGTCGAAGGCTCGGGGTGTGGCCCCCTAAGAAAACCACCTGCTTCGGTCTGGGCACCCGGGCAGTATCACAGCCCTCACACAAATCAATTGAGAATTGTGTGGCGCATATGTATTTGGTGCCTCCCTGTACCTATACTTATGTGTTAAAATAAAAATAATAATAATCATGTCGCATATCCAAATAAAGCTGATAAGTGATTTTATATCAGTTATATATTCCTGGGAACAAATTCATTATGGAGTAATGCAAAGGGCACAAATTATTGGTTACGATTAAATAACTTGTCTCTCGTTTGTAAAATATCTGGTAACTACGCTTTTAATAATATCGCTATCATCCAAGCAAACATTTTTCAGTACATGCATCAAAATCTAATTAAATTCTTATTTCAAAGTGTTATTTATATATTCACTGTAACTGCTTGTAGACTGATAAATAATATTAACAGCGACATAAGTTAAGAGTAGGAATAATTTATATTATATTATCAAGTACTTGGTAAAATTAACTGGGATCAATTTATCTGTGAGACTTTTCTTTCCTGTTTTCAAATATCATTAAATATTAGACCAACAGAGGGTGGTAGGGATTCCTGAAGTTCTCAAAAAATATATTTTGTCCTGTTTTATAGCGAACTGTAGGCGCTGAAGGAGAGACAAAAAGTAAAAAACAATGAAAATCGTAGTAAACTAGTGGGTTTATTTATTATAAAATCGAAACTGCTTGGAATCTAAGATTAGCTAATTGACATTAGTAAATCCGTAATTCAACAGAAGTGTTAATGGTGTATAAATATTTCTGGATGTGATCATTTTTAAAGGTTTAGTCTATTCAGTGGGTCTACTAAAATAAATCAGTGAATTAGTTTCCGGAGCGAATCAGTCTCTTGGATGTTAAAGAGAATTCGAGGCCGGTTAGAATATATTATAAATTGATAATCTGAATTAGGATCTGACCTAGTTGATAAAATCAAGCTATTTACGTTTATTATTGATGACTTCCAACTTATATAGACAATCTTCAAATACACAGTAATATACCGTAAAAAGTGATATTCAAACAAACGGTAATATGTAGCATAAATCAAATAAATCATGAAAAATACAACAATTAACTATATGCAATTACAGTTTATTGATTATTACACTGGATGCCAGCCGAGTTTTTATTGGTTGTTAATATTCTTTCAAATGACTTTTTCTATCAAGATTTACGAAATCTATGCTTATATTAAATATTTAAACAAATCTTCCTACAGTCTACTGAATATGATAGGATGGGGGAATAAGTAAATATTGACTGTCTTTATTTGAACTGAATTTCCTGCAATAATAAACAAACTCTAGTCACTATAGTGACAATTCTGTTAAGTATGAATGAAATATATATATATATATATATATATATATATATATATAACAATTGATACATTACCTATTGTTTCTCCCCATAAAATTCCCTTTATATCATACTGTCCAAGGTCAGATTGTTGATTAAATAATACTCAAACTAATATAATTCATTTCATTCATTCACAAAATTGGTAATAAAATTTATTCCGATTGAACCTTTTCAAGTGTTTTGTACTTTAATAATCCGCATTCATTTCTAACACTTAAAATCGGCTGTGATTCTTTTTTTTCTTATCTGCTCCTTTTATTACCTTATTGTTCTCTTAATGGAATAATATAAATAGTTATCATCAATCACATTATCAACGTCACCATAATTTATACTACTTACTAAAATTATCCATTAAGAAAACATGGTAGAATTATTAGCTGATATCCATACATGTAAGTGATATATGTGCATTTTGGATTACAGTGATAATATTTTGATAAGTGTCATATTTAGTCTTTTATCAAATTTAATTTTAAAAAATATTTAATTATGGTCAAATTTGCAAAATAAAATGATGGAATCACAAAGTACTACTTCCATATAGCAATTTAGTAAATAGTTAATTTAATCATAAATTAATTGAGAAAAAATATAATTAAAGGTCATTCGCTGTAAATTAATGACTTGATTAGACTTATTTTGCTTATTTATACTGCTGATGGTTTCAGGTCTGTTGTAGAATAGTAAATCACTGATGACAATGGTGGATGTGTCACTCAATTTCATGGATTAGTTCAAGTTAGACATTAACACCGTTGGATGCCGGCTCAGTGTTATAGTGGTTAAGCGCTCGCGTGCGAGACTGATAGGTCCTGGGTTCGAATCTCGCGGGGGGCGAGGTCGTGGACGCGCATTGTTGAGGAGTCCCGCAATCGAACGAAACGGCCATCCAGTGTTTGCAGGTTTTCCATAGTGGTCTGGTTTCAACTGACTCATGATCTCAACCATTGAAATAAATAAAGCTTAAAAATCATACTTTTATTCATGAGGCACTCAAAGTAAACCGATCTTCTATAGTCAAACTTTACGTACACCTGGCACCAATCAAAATAAATCTTGCAAAGCTAACTAACTGAATTGAACTGAGATCAAGTAATTCTGAATTATTTAAAGAACCCACGCTTTCAAAGCATATCAATTACGAGGGTGTGCGAAACACATGATGGTCAACGAACAAGTTCAAGTTACTCAACAGAATTTCTAAAGTTTCTAACGTCAAATTTTGACAAGTAGTCATAAACAGCATCTGTCTAGACCAATGTAACTATTCATCTGTTCCTAGATTTGAATGGTTTCTTAGCTATTACTGAACTCTGCCTCAAAGTATCGTTGAATAAATAACCGCTTAAAATTCCCTATATTATTAGCCAAATAAACATTTATATATTAATAGTACATGTCTTATTATCATTATGATTGTTACTGAAACCATTAATATATTCTGTATATGATAACTATTTTTTATAATACATTCACAAAAGAATGATAGTAAACTTTTTCATTCAAACTCCATCCATTAGGAATCGATGAGTACTGAATCAGATCAAAATAAGTTACTGCAAAAATTTAAAAATTTACGCAAAGAACCACAAAAACAAGTAGACTATTTAACAAATGCAATAAATGATATCGAAGAAGTAAGTTTTATAAAATATCGTTTCATTATTAGCTTGTTTTTAAGTTATAGCACAGTATATCTGTGCGAATATGTTCAACTTCATGACTATACCATTTACTCTCAGTCAGTTACTTATCAATGCATGGGGATTTGTGAAGATTGTAGTTGTAGTGTAGTGAACGAAAATCAAGTTGGAACAATGGAATGTATTCAAATACAAAATTACAGAACATCTTAGTAAAATCTGATAACTATACTGTAAATACTTCATTTGCACAGTGTCAATCAGTCGTTTCAGACTCCATTGTTCTTTCGATTCCACACCAATCATTCTCTGTTCTCGTTTTCCTTCGATCTCCTTCACCTTCTGCCTCTAGGCGTTTCACTTTCGATCGATGATATATACTACCTATATATGTCGATATCAGTAGCACACACCACAGTAGGAGTTCCATACTAGGACGAAACGGCCGTCCAGTACTTACAAGTTTTCAATGGTGGTGTAGCTTCAATCGACTCATGAATTCAACTTTGAAAATTGTCAATGTCGTTTGAAAAAAACTGTTATAAAGTTGGTTGTTTAAATTGTAACATATTACACTATATTACTATAAACGGTAGATATTATAAAAAATTGTAAATGGATAAAGTTACAGCATTAATCTATTTCATGCAATATTCTATCTTATTAGACTCATACTTTAAGATACAACTGTCAACAACTTTTTGAAATTAAATTTACTTCATAGTATGGAATGTTCAAACAAGTTCATTAGAATAAATTGATCTAGAGCTTATAGAATAACTGATAAGTCCACTGCAACGTGAATGGTTGATAATATTCCTCAAAACAAGATTAAAATAAAACTATCTAGTTCAGAGAACACAATTCCATTAAGATTACTCATCTCAGCAATAAATCTGATTCATTATAATACAACAGTCTAATATTAACATAATAGATATTTCTAAATGCTACAAATTGTCACTGGGACATTTTTACAGTTAATGATAAAATCTATATATAACTAAATTGAATTTATTTTCATTCAATTTTTGGTAATGTATATCCCTTCATGTCAACTTTACTTCGAACTTGTCCACCTACTTGGATAAGAAATCACTAGTTATGAAAGTTTAGAAAAGCTTCCATAAAAAAATAAGATCTGAGTCAATAGGAAATAGAATAAGATCAATAAATGTTGGATAGTATTTCACCAATTCATGTATGATAAAGTACTCATTAACATCAAAACCTCACGGTAAATCGAAGATTTTGACTCAAAATAGTCAAGTAACACAAATTTTGTACGAAACTACAAAAGCTGAAGTAAGATCATTCTTATGATCTGTTTCAATTGTATTTAATAATAGAGATGGGTGTTTATCATCTACTCTTATTAGGTCAGCTGATTTAATTTTTTCTGTGACAATTCGTTCTCGCCCTAAAACGACCCTGGTAATATTACTTTGTTATCTAACATGGTGAGTTTCTTGTTGTTTTTCAGATTTCTTTTAACATCTTTGTTTCTTCTTACCTTTCATTTGTCTAGTTGACCATTTATTTTCCATATATAAATGTTCCTAACAATAGTATGTGTGATCCGATTGTCCGAGATGCATTGTGCAAATTCATTACATAGTTCTGTTAATCTTCATCTTCTTATTACATTATTCAAACTTATCAAAATGACTGTTATAAAATGCATGTTGCTAAAATATTCAGAAGTTTCTAAATGAATTAGCTACAAATCAGCTATCACATTCACCCAAAAGTCACAAGTAAACAGTAAGATACGCTACTTTTCAAAATATACTCAGTTTGAAGATAATTTTACCCGGAAGTGATATCCTTTGGTGAACCACTGGAAAGCCATAAGGAATAGAGTAGACTATTTCAAAATTCTCAACATTGCACAGCCAAGACAACACACTAGATTTAGCTGAAAAGCATTAAACTTTCAGGAAAATATATGATTATCTAATTTTTTATTTTATGTTTTGTGAAATGAGTTTTATTCATCAAAACACAGTTCGTACTTGTTAAAATCTTTTATTTATTTCCAGAATCTTATCCGAAATAAAGAAAGTTATAAAATACAAATGCAGAAAATCGATCAACTATTTCGAACTAATGTGAACGATCTAAATGAACAGATAAATGTAAGCAATGTTACATTTTGAAAAAAGTAATATACATCATCTATGATGATTCTATAGTTTATAAACTGGATGATTTAATTACAGAACCATGTCTGAAGACCACTCTGAATATGAACCTTACTAAAATGATGTTAAAATTATAATCCAGGCACATTCTATGGATGATGGACAATTTCTACAAACTTGTCATTCATGTCAGTCTGTTGTCAGTAAATATATCCATACAGATTCAATCTTTTAATCAGTCAGCACCAGTTTAAAAAATCATATGATTATATATCAGTTGAAGACAAAAGTCAATAGGAATGCTAATAGATATGAAGATAATAGAGCTTTTAAGTAAAAATTATCATCAATGGGGTGATTAAATTAAACTGAATTTCTAACAGTAGATTGCTCACCTCTATCCTAGGTAGAACGTTAATGATCCTATCTCTGAACACGATGATTTTATTGCAAGCTTTCATTATCATTCTGGATATCATTTGCGCTTTATTACTTTTAATTATAATAAATCTTAAGATAGAAATTATTTAGGAATTAACATAGATGATAATAATAAAGTAGAATCAATAAATCATAATACTGATTAAGATTGACCATCACTGGAACAAAACCTCAGTTTCTTGTTTCACACTAGTTTTAATATGAAATTAGTATGTTAATCAGAATTAAAGGTTTGCTTACATTTTTCAATTTTGTAAAAAATGGCCTTCTTCAACATAACGAAATAGGATAACCTGGATCAGGGAACATTTGAACGATTGTCGCTCTTGATTTTCCAAACTCTTTCGAGTTATAATTAAAACGCTTATAAAATAACCAAAACAAACTTGATCTTTAAGTTTTTATGAGTATATTCGTAATACCAACGGTTTGGATATTTATAAACAAATACTTTGAAAAGTTTCACTAGTATTAACATCCTTAAGTAACTGTATTCAGATAACCTAACAAGTAAGATCTAGATTAGTTAAAAGGATGTGAAAAAGCTGTATTTTTGTTGAATTGTTTGTTATTTATAAACTGTGTAAGTGAAATGTTCAATTTTAATGCGAATTATTTAGCAATTGAAAAATGACCTTGAAATTCAGTCACTTCATTTGAAGCAAATTGAAAAGTGGTTAAACGCAACACGGGGATGGATTTTAATTCGAAAATATTTGTATAAACAGAAATATCGTAAATGGAAAATAGAATTGTTACGAACTCATTATCATGTAGGTTTTATCATATTTATGTTGTGACTATTGAAGTGAGACTATCTGAAACGTCAAGCCAATCATCAATAGAAAAAATATTTTTCATTGATAATTTACTGAACCTAATTGGTAATCTTTCCTTGATAATTAAACTTCTAAATAAGAAAGATTGGTTCAACAAATCGTTCTCTTTTCGGCGAATTCAAATACGCCAAGTATTATAGTGTGATATTATTTTTTTTCAGTAATGAATAATCAGTGAATTCATGATGTTTAGTTAGACTGAGTAAATTAAATAACAGAAAGTAATACTTGAAAATAACGAGACAGTAATTTACTTTTCTGTCCAAATTGTATACTAGTTGTTAAAAATCGATTATCTCTTGGACACTTCAGTTAAAAACATTGAATTCAAAAGTAGGGGCAAAAGTGTGGATACCTTTTTAAATAAACTTTATACTAAATTTATCAGTATCCAGTATTTTAGAGCAATTTTCAGATTGAATCTATTTGTTGTTTTGATTTATGATAAAGATGTTCTCAATTAAAACAGTAATTTTCAAGATTCCCATTTCAATATCAAAAAGTTACAATTATGTGAATTTTAATAGTCAATAATGGGTAATCCTGCTACTTATCTTCTAAATGTTGGGATATTCAGAAAAATATCTCAAAAATTATCCTGTTAAGTCTAATGCTATCCTTGAACGTGAAATGGTGTCATTTTCCTATTGGTCAATATTTATTTCACGTGTCATTTTCCTGTCAGTCAATATTCACGGTAGTCCTAACTATATAAATATGCATCTGTCTGTAAATAATCATTCTCATACTTATTATTCTCCTGCTCCCATAAACAATTTTCATGTAACGGTTCGTGTTCTGATATATTAGAGATTGGGGGCAGTATTGGGGTCGTACTGGGATATCTTCAGTTGGTCAATCGGTAAAATTTAGAGTAACCACCACGCGGTCCACAATTCTAATCATCATTATTTTAAATTCACTTATTTAGAATTATGAATTTAGTAGTCATTTCCATTGATTCTTTATTTCTGCCGTTCACAAAATTAGTTAATTTCAACAACTCATCTTCTTTCATTAAAGTATTAAAGTCACACTAGTAATGAGTAGGATACTAAATGAATAAAACGGTCGCCCGATATTTGAATAAGTCCAATTTATCAAATTAAATTTTAAACTTTCCATACTATCCACACATAGAGATGTTTCCTAAGAAATTCTAAATTACTTACATTAGTTTAAATAAAACAGCATTTCTATATAATTAACTTGTTATTATATATTTTTGATTCAGATTGAAGATGCATGTAAAGAATTCAATAAAACTGTATTCGGTAATGAAGCTAATCATCCAATATGGGAAGTATGTACAAATTCAATAACAACAGTACAATATCCTACTTCTAATAACTGGATAAATGAACAATCTTGGCTTCATTATAGAAAACAAATTATTGAATCACAATTAAGTACAAAAAGTAAAGATAAAATAAAATGCATTCAAAATAAATTATGTAGTCGTAAAATTACCCAACAAATATTTAATCATAATTCTAATAGGGAATCTCATGAAAATAATAAAGATTATGTTGATGAAATTAATGAATCAAAGCAACAAGATGAATTAACAAACTATCCTTACAGCACAAATCATCCATTACATATACATGAGCAACAATTGATGAATACATTTAATCAAATAAAAACTGTACAATACTTAAGTCTAACTGAATTAAATGAAAAAGAGAATGATTTACATTCATTACTGTAAGTATGTTTTTCATTTTAATAGACTAGTTATATGGAGAAATAAAAAGGTAATCCTCATAGAATAAATACATTATTAAAAAACACCGTCTGTAAACCTTTAATTTAAAGATATTGTTAGTGATATAATGAAAAACTATATCTGGAGTGGAGGTCAGTTCAAAAAACAGTCCGTAGAGAAAATCGTTTTGTCAAAAACAATCACCCTCTGATTAAAAACTAGCTTATTATGACTGGCCAATTTAATGTTTATTTTACTATTCACCTACTTTTATGAACCTTAGTACACAAGCCATCCGTTGTAGATACGTTTGCCTCTCAATGAGAAATATCTACTAACATGACTTAACAAAGAAAAACACGGGTTAACGATGCCCTCTATTCTGCAGAGTGTAATATATTCATGGAATCCAACTTCAGATACACTCTTTATTAACATTTATTAGACCAGTGAAAACGTTAGGGGTGTTGTATGCCTAAAAGTATCTTACATTACAGACACATCACCGATTTACGTACTGAAACATGAATTATGTACTAAAAATTTATATTTTTAGACGTTAATTATTATATTTATATATGCATATTTTCATTAACCAACCCACTATTTTTTGTTGTTTAGTAAGAGATAATAACAGCATTGCTCTACTTGCGCTTAAGTCTACGAAGAAAGGTTCAATCCCGTGAATGAAATTACTAGACAGAGGTGAAACCGTTGAATGAAAGCTGGCAAATCACTTGTTTTCTTTTTTGAAACGAGAATAGAATAATCTGAATCGACACAGTGGTTGACACTGACTGCAAAATGGAATTTTTGAACACTTCCTAACGTTCAGTTCAGGGCATAATCTTCATATTAAAATAGAGTTCCTATCTATTAAAAGACATAACACAGTAATGTTCAAGTTAATTATATGATAGGTGCTGACAACGAGGAAACTAATCATGAAGAATTATCCCTCTTATCTAATGTATCTAACTGTTTTCCAGTGATTTGTAATTACTAATAAATATTCTGTTTGTAAATTTTTAGGATCATAAAACCCTAATCGCATAATACGAGCCTACTCAATTAAAATAGTTAAGTTCACCGAAATATCTTGACCAAATAATTATTAGTACGTTGATACTTAAACTTTAATTCGGAAATTGCCAGAAAAATAAAACAAATTGATGAATCTTGTTTAAACTTCTACAAAATATCACTATTGTATTGTGTCCCAAACATTATCATTACATGACAAAAAAGTTAAGAACTGTAATATACAGAAAATCTACTCATTACTTCTATTTAGTACATTTGAAAAAAGAAAGGGCCGAAACTCTTTTGATAAATAAAACGTCAGGTACATATCATTTTATACCTTCTGGAAGACCTTAGATTTCATGTTTACCAATGAATAATCAAGGAATTTCGGGGATAAAAAAGCTATCTGAAATTCTTTATTATACGGTATATAATATTTTGAAACTCAGTGAATTTGTGTTTTAAAGTTTACTTTTGATTTGCAGAACACACATTAGGAATCTGAAATTTGATCTTGATAATGATTACACAAAATATACACAAATGAGTTTCAATGAAATCAACAAGAAGAAACAACAGTTGATCAACGTAAGTTCCCTTTTCCTTGATGTGTTCCCATTAAAATTCAGTTAACTTCTTGACTCTTTTTTTCATTATAGTTTTCAAAATTACTAGATGAATTAGAAGAAGAAGAGGCTGCTGAATTGAACAAGTTAATTAGTAAAGCAAGAAAAACAAATGAAACAAGGACTGTACTTAAAAAGGAGTTGAAATATTTAAGAATTAGTCAAAATATCAATGCTATGCATCGTTTTACTTATTTTGATTATAGGTATGATTTACCTTTATGCAAATTATAAAACAATGTTATATTTGTTCTATATGGTCGTGGTATTTGTACTAACTGACGATTCATCAGTACTTGCTTACGTGCTGATTATAAATTTCAAATAATAATACATTCATTTGTGTTCATCTAATTCTACCTACCTTTAATTGCACTATTTTGGGAATTCTTAGTTATCACATTTGCGGGGGTCCCTTATTCAGATGTCAATTAGATTGGACGATTTATTCACTATATTTTGTCCATATGATGACAGTATTTCTTAAATTATTGATAAGTCTTGCTAATTGAACGCTATATTTGGTTCCTAGGCTCTTCTAGTAACCCCCAAGCTAGAACTAGACAGCGACCTAAACACGAGAGAAAAGACGCAAAATATGCGAGAAGCACTGTACTCCAAAAGTTTGTTTTAGTACAGAAAATCTAAAGTTTTTATAGTATTTTAGATGTCCTTGGGTTTCCCGAAAATTCTGGAATACTACTAAACGTAGAAGCAGTATAGTATTCAGCCAATCAGAACCTCTACATGTGACTTTTCACTTTCTTGATGTTTCTGGTTAAACCACAAGTGAACGTTGATTGGATAAAATGTTTCTTAGTATTTTTCTGAGCCTTTCTTGTCTTTTGCCAGAAGTTTTCCGGATCACCGCACCAAATATATTACAGTTTCATTAAATTGGTAAGATATATTTTTAAATTAATTTAAATGCAAAAAATTATACGTAAAAAAATATCATGATACACAGCAATTTATGTGAATTCCCAGTAAAGATTGTTATTCTTTGTATGTTTCTAATAAAATAACATAGTGAACAACAATTCAAATTTTTTGTTTTAAAAAGAAATATTATCAATTTCGATAGTGTAATATGACGAAGATTATCATAACATTTCATCAGAAAATGTAGTCTTGAATCTGTGACAAACGATAAATAAAATTTGCCAATGAATTGGTAATTAAACCAACTTTAAAGTACAACACTTTTTAAATACGGGATTTCGGAAATAAACAGAAGTTGATTTATATCCACCTCAAAAAGCATGGTTTAACCTAAGGACTTACCTTAGGTGTCTGTTCAGTCATATTAATATATCAAGTACAAGAAATGAACGAGTGGCTGTCGATGATTTCTTGTGTTTATTAGGTGCTAACTGCAATAGTAGGATAATCTGTGTTAACTATTTAACGGGAAGGGTGAAGTAACAAGGACCGGTCTGTAGATCAGGTCGTGAACTGGGGAAATAATACTAATGTAATGATGAACAATTCTGCTTTTAAGTGTAAGGTGTGCTTTATACAAGTTTCATACTAAATTAAAATAATGGTCATGAGATCGCGTGACAGTAGGCTTTCTTTGTAAATGGTTGTAATTTCTTAGATAACTTGCTTGCGCACGACCTCAGATGGAATTTTAGGCCACACGTATTAGCGAAAACTGTGCTTGTGTTAAGATCTTAGTGAAATGAGGTACATAATGCCCAAGACATGGTGAATTTTAAACTAACGATTTGTTATCTAATACTTGTAAACATTTTTGTCAAAATGGAAGTTTGAAGTATGAAAAGATAGATTACAAAAAAGTGTTATGCATAACTATGATAATTAGGAGTATTTGAATCATAGTACAAACTAAGAATCGCAGAAATAACGCGATTGGATCAAGAAGTACTAGATAAGCACGAAAGAATGTACTGTATTTGGAATTCGAAATCAAGCATTCAACAAGTACAAAGGAACTGTTCGTTCATACGAACACCACAATAGTTCTAATGAAGAATCTCGGAGGCGAAGTCTTCCAATTCTTACTGTGGAACTAGCAAATACATTAAGTGGTTAATGACTTGGGGTAATCTATAAAAACCCATGCAAGTTAACAGAAGTCATTCAGGTGAAAACACGATGTCAAACTGAATGGGAAAACAAACACAGGAAAGATGAGGCTAAATATTAGGTCGAAATGTTTACTTTCTTCAATTCGTAATACCTCAGACTGCATGAACCTAAACATTTATGACTTTGCTTTTGACGATTCGACATTAAAAGGCTGAGGTAGTATTTTGGTAATCAGAAATTGTGATTGAAGTAATTCATATAAATGATCGTTAAATGTCAGAGATGAGTTTTAGTTCAGGTGAATAATTGTGGTATTTGTGTCGTTCGCACTAGTTCATTTTGTTGCGAAAATTTCGTCATCATTCTTGATATGAGAGCTTACTTCATATCATAGTTAAGTTGAAGACTGTGACCCCACCTTCCTTCCAACTTATGCCTTCCTGGCCAGACAACATCGAAGCCTGGTTTTGCTACGCAAAAGCCGACTTCTACGAGCACGGTGTGAACGACACACGTGCACAATTCCTCGCTGTAGTCAAGGCACTACCGCGCGAATTCAACAGGTACGTAACACCTAGTATGTTTACTAGTGATGTTTCTGACCCATACAAAACTCTAAGACATGCCATCCTCAAATGCGGAGATCTAACCGATCGATAAAGTTCAGACCAACTCCTTAACAACATCGACCTGCAACACGGTTCTGCCACAGACATGTTGCAAAGAATGAGAGAAGTTATTGGCCAAAGAACCTTCGACGATGGCCTATTCAAACAGATTTTCTTATCCAAACTTCCTCAAAAGGTTCAAGCTGTGCTGGTGTCGTTTCGAAACAACGCCGTAAACGAGCTGGCTGCATCTGGCGATCGCATCCTCGAGATCACTAGATCTTCTAACGCCGAGGTTTTTTCAATCAAAGAAAAGCCTCAAACCACCCAGAATGACATAACAGAATTATGTCATACACTTACTCGTTATCTCAAACTCCGTAACGACCGTAAACGGTCACACACCCCGCGAAGAAGCGCATGACATAGGCGGTCTGTATCTAAACCTCGAGAGACGGATAATCCTGACTGGTGCTAGTATCATAACCAGTATGGAAAGTCCTCCAGAAATTGCAGAAAACCCTGCAATTTTCCCAACTCAAAATCGGTCAACGTGAAGAATGTTTCGGGAAACTTCCAAGCCGGCACGGGTTAACGGCAACCGTAGCCGGCGAACATAGCCGTCTATTATATGTCACCGATATGATAACGAGAGTTCCCTACCTCGTCGATACTGGCGCAGAAGTTAGAGTTCTCCCAGCTAATTCCAACGACCGGCTTCACGAGTCGGTTTTAAATCTACAGGCGGCAAACGGAAAGCCTATCGCTACGTATAGCAAGAGGCACGTTTATCTTAACGTGGGTTTACGCAAACCCATTCACTGGATCTTTGTTGTTGCAGATGTTTCTATGCCGATCATTGGTATGAACCCTCTACAGCACCACAACTTAATTATCGATACGCGTAAACGGAGGCTAGTAGATGGAAATATTAATTTATCTGTTTGCCTGACTTCTTTTTCTGGTTGCAGGTTATCTCCTGTCACTATTATGCACACTATAGATCCCTTCAATCAACCAATACTCGATAAGTATTCTGGCATTTACCAATCGCAACCGAAATTGCCGTGTGTAACCAGCAACGTTACATATCACATCACGACTACAGGACCACCTGTATTCTCTAAAGCACGTCGACTTGCCCCCGAGAAGTTAAGGTTGACGAAAAACGAATTTGACCATATGATAGACTTGGGAATCATACGACCGTCAAATAGCCCATGGGCATCTCCGTTGCACATGGTCCCTAAAAAGGACAGCAACGATTGGCGTCCAACTGGTGACTATTGGTGAATGAATGCGAAAACCATTCCCGATCGTTACCCGTTGCCCCACATTCACGATTTGAAAGCTACCTTGAAAGGTACAACTGTCTTTTCGAAAATCGACTTGGTTAGAGCGTATGACCGAATTTATAAGTGCGTTGCTTTATTCACGCTCACCAATGTAGGATTCAGCAGAACTTACTTGCTTACTTACGCCTGTTACTCCCAATGGAGCATAGGCCGCCGACCAGCATTCTCCAACCCACTCTGTCCTGGGCCTTCTTTTCTAGTTCCATCCAATTCTTGTTCATTTTTCTCATGTCTATCTCCATTTCCCGGCGTAATGTGTTCTTTGGTCTTCCTCTCCTCCTTCGGCCTTGAGGATTCCATGTGAGGGCTTGTCTTGTGACGCAGTTGGGTGCTTTCCTCAATGTGTGTCCTATCCATTTCCAGCGCTTCTTCCTGATTTCTTCCTCCACTGGGATCTGGTTTGTTTTCTCCCACAGTAGGTTGTTGCTGATCGTGTCCGGCCGGCGGATCTGAAGTATTTTGCGTAGACAACTATTGATAAACACCTGTATCTTCTGGATGATGGATTTCGTAGTTTTCCAGGTTTCCACCCCATACAGTAGAACTGTCTTCACATTTGCATTAAAAATTCTGACTTTGGTGTTGGTTGCCAATTGTTTTGAGTTCCAGATATTCTTCACTTGTGAATATGCTGCTCTTGTTTTGCCAATCCGTGCCTTCACATCTGCATCAGATCCACCGTGTTCATCGATGATACTGCCCAAATATGTAAAGGTATTTACGTCTTCCAAAGCTTCTCCGTCAATTGTGATTGGATTGTTATATGCTGTGTTGTATCGAAGAATCTTGCTTTTCCCTTTGTGTATATTGAGACCTATTGCTGCTGAGGCTGCTGCTACACTGGTTGTCTTCTCCTGCATTTGTTGTTGCGTTTGCAATAGAAGAGCCAGATCATCTGCGAAGTCTAGATCAT